TTGCGGCCGTGTACCGCGAGCCCCTCCTTGCATTCATGCAGCGCAAGCGGCGGCAGCAGCAGCAGCAGCAGCAGCAGCAGCAGCAGCAGCAGCAGCAGCAGCAGCAGCAGCAGCAGCAACAGGACGGGGACCAGCCGCCGCCCGGCCTTGCAGCGGCCCTGCGGCTCCATGCCCTGCCGGTGCTGCTGCTGTGCCTTGAGGCGACCGCACCGCCCACCGACGCAAACGGCGTCAGCGGCGGCGGCGCCGCCAGCGAGCAGGAGCAGGAGCAGGAGCAGGAGCAGGAGCAGGAGCAGGAGGAGCAGGTGGCCGCGCTGTTGCCGAAGCTGCTGCCCGCGTCCGGATGGGACCCGGGGGCCGAGGCGCAGGGCCAGGCGGGCGACCCGACGGTGACTGCGCAGCAGCAGGCAGACCTTGCAGCCTGGATCGTGCGGCGCCAACTGGCGCGGCTGGCGCGGGGTGCCGAGCCTGCCGGTGAATTGGGTGGCAGTTTGGAGGCGGTGGCGTCGGAGCAGCGGCTGGAGCTGCTGGGAAGCTTCCTGTCGGCCGCGTGCGCCACGCTGGCCGCGTGCTACCGCGCGCGCAGCCACCACTACCGTGGCAGCGACGAGGGAGGCGGCGACGAGGGGCTCGAAAGCTGCGTGTCGCGGCACGTGGATGGGTGGTTGGGCGATGCCCTTGCCGACTTGCCCGATGAGGCCCGGGCCGGCCCCGGCTTCGCCCGCGTGCTGTCGGCTGCGCACCAGCTGGCGGTCGCGGCGCTGAAGCACCGCGCGCGCGCGGCGGCGGCGCTGCGGTCGCTGCGGCGGCTGCTCGCCGCGCTGCTGCCGTCGGGCGTGGGGGCCGAGGAGAATGCGATGGAGGCGGAGGGGGACGAGGGGGAGGAGAAGCAGGGAGAGCAGGGCGACGGGCATGATGGGATGATGGACGTCGATGCGAGCCGCAGCGGCGGGGAGAGCGATGCGGAAGCAGAGGAGGCGGGGATCGGCGGCAGCCCTGAAGGCAGCAACGGGAGCAGCAGCAGCAGCGACAGCGGAAGCAGCGGGAGCAGCGGCAGCGAGGGGGGCGGCGGCAGCGGCGGCGGCGGCGAGGG